CGAGAAACACAAAAAATGTTAGAGAAAATTACATAAGAAACTCAATTATTTCTCAAAACTCAAAAATATATAAACTTACGAGATAAAGATAAATAAGAAATTCATATTATAGAGAGATAATAGAAAAATATTGATAATTTTTACTTTTAAAATCCTAACCGGTTATTTAAGAAGCTTGATTTATTCAATGATAAACTTTATGTAGATAAGAAAGTTTTAAGAAAATATATTTAAAATAAGAAATACGGTATTTAAATGATTGACGATCGTTTCATATTTTCATGCAGTATAGATAAAAATAATAGTTTATATTATTTCACATCAAATATCATTTTGTATCTTTAAATAATTGGTTGTTTGGTTAAACATAATAAGTTAAAAACTAAACTAATAAATAAAAATCCAAATTTTTTATACCAAATTTAATAAATTGTTAAACAAAACTTGCGTACCCCGCAAATATTATTCTAGTTGAATACAAAAATAGACATCTTATCATATATATCTTATAAGCGCCAGTAAATTCAGCTAAAATTAAACCTTTAAGGTATGCATGATTAATGGCACAGTTTATAGAGAAATATATGTTTTCTTAAGAGAGAAATACATGTTACCTACTAATGGCATAGTTTACAGAGAAATATATGTTACCTTATAAATACAAGTGATTCTAATATTCTTCAGCAAATTTATATATATAGAGGATAGGACTATGAAGTGTTTTCACTTTCAGTAGTACTCAAATTCAATACAAACAAGAAAAAAAAAATGATGGTTTCATTTGGCAAATGTTTCTTCCTTGTTCTTTTATGTTTAGCTCTTTTCATATCCCAAAGTATGGCAATAATCATTTCATAGTTTATGCTTAATTCTATTATATATGGGTTATATGTATGATTATATGGGTTATATGTATGATTGCATTTTTTTTCCTTGTTAGAAAACGTTTTCCTTATATTATGTTCTCTTAACCCAAGCATGCAAAAAAATGTTATGTTGTTTTTTAATATAATACTATTTCTCTGTTTAAACGTATAGGTATAGTTTTTCTTTTGAAAAAAACGTATAGGTATATATACCTTTTAATTTTTACAATATATTGTGATATTGCATTGTATATAGCCATAAGAGATATATGTCTTAAAGATTTTTTTTTTTTTGTTAAAGGTCTTAAAGATTATTTATGTTTTTGAATACTTCACTAATTTTTTTTTTCTAAAATTTTTTTGCAGAACCTGCGGAAGCAAGGATAGGGTATATCCGATAGGTTTTTGCTCGCAGTTTCCCGACTACAATAAAAAGTGCCTTGAATTACATCTTGCTGGTGGACAATGTTTTAAATATGCTGTAGATGACCCTGAATATACATGTGGTTGTACTGTAGAATCTCATATATAAATACCTTTTTGATGATATCGAGTGTTCAAATATTTTTAAATAAAAATGTCAACTTTTAAATACAATTATTACTATATCATCTTTTTTTACAAACTTTAAAGGTTGAAGTTTGTAATATTTGTCAATCTAACTAACATGCGATAAATCTAAGAAGCACTTCTTCACCATAAATCTTCTCCCGTTAACGACGATTCCGCCACCGTTATTTCTTTTTTCTGATTCCTTTTTTCCAAGTATTTTGTTTCTCTTCCTTGCGATTTTCTGCGAGGATTGTCTTTTTTTTGTCTTTCTTTGTCCCTACCTTTTTGCTATTTTTCTTTCGATTGTTTTTTTTAATAAATCCGTATTTTCTTTTGTTATCAATGAAGTTTAGACGTAAAAGAGGTTGTCAGCTCTAATTCTTACATCATTTGTTCCGATATGC